CCCAATACCATGAGCTGTCATGACTGTACGTTGTAGCCGTTTGTTGCTTTGTTGACCACAGGGAAGGTTGAGTCTTTTAACGGCTAGTGCAGAGTGAGTAATGGGCTTCGTCGACTGCACTTGGGCCTTCACGGTAACTTCATCCTCAAGCCTCAAACCTTCTACTTGAGCTGGAGTCTTAGGAACACTTAGACTAATACCCTCCCTCAAACTTGGAGTCGGAGGATGAGAGACACCGAGTTTGTTGCGCAGTTTGAAGAACGGTTCTTGAGCAAGTGACTTAGTGAACACGTCGGCAAGCTGAAGTGTTGCAGGAATATGTTTCACTTCCAGAGCTTTGAGAGCAACTCTTTCTCTAACATAGTGGTAATCAATGTCAAAGTGCTTTGTTCTCTTGTGAAACATAGGATTAGCAGTGAGACATACCGCGGATAAATTGTCGCAGAGCATCAAAGGAACAACAGTCTGTTGCAGTCCCATCACCCTCAGAATATGCTGCAACCACACAACCTCAGATGCTGCTTGAGACATTGTTCTATATTCTGCTTCAGTAGAAGATTTAGACACAGTTTCATGTCTGCGAGCAGACCATGAGATCAAGTTCGAACCAAGAAACGTGCAAAATCCCCCAGTAGACCTTCTGGTTTCATGACAGCCAGCCCAGTCACTATCACTATAACAGACCAGAGTAGAGTTTGTGCCAGCTTCAATAGTGATACCCATCTGATATGTTCCTTTAACATACCGAAGAATTCGTTTGAGAAGATGAAAATCAGACACACTTGGGAGATGCATCTTTTGGCAAATATAATTCACTGAGAATTGAAGATCAGGACGAGTGAGAGTGAGGTACTGCAGTTTACCTGCCAAGCCCCTGAAGTAAGACGGATCAGAGAATAATTCATCCTTGCCAGCCAAGTTTTGTAGTTTCAATGGCAGAGGAGTAGGCATAGGAGCACAATCTCTCATTCCTGCAGTGATGAGAAGGTCTTGTGCATATTTTTCTTGACTGAGAAACAAACCAGAAGAGTGACGATGAACCTGAATTCCGAGAAAGTAGTGAACCTCTCCCATATCCTTCATTCTGAAGACTGTGTTCAGTTTCTGCAACAGGTGATCGACCAACTTATCATTGTTTCCAGTAAGCAGCATATCATCAACGTATAAAAGAAGATACATAAGATCCGTTCCATGGTGATAGACAAACAAGGACGGATCAGGAAAGCTGCACTTGAAGCCATAGTTGATAAGAAAACAGCTGAACTTATCAAACCAAGCACGTGGAGCCTGCTTCAAGCCATAGATTGATTTATTTAATTTGCAGACATAATCAGGCTTCTCCGGATCTTCAAACCCTGGTGGTTGTGTCATGTACACAGTTTCTTGAAGATCGCCATGCAGAAATGCATTTTGAACATCCAACTGACGTATGTTCCACCTCTTAGTGACAGCAACATGAAGAATAGTCCGAATGGTTGCAGTCCTTACAACAGGACTAAACGTTTCGAGGTAATCAACGCCCTCTTCTTGCTCATTGCCCCGGGCAACAAGCCTTGACTTTCTCTTGTTAAGAGTACCATCTGCATTGAGTTTATTCTTGAAGATCCAGCCACAGTTCACAGGATTCTGTCCTTCTTCACGAGGAACCAAGTTCCAGGTACCAGTTTCAAGCAAGTTGTTGATCTCAACGCGACAGGAAGCTGTCCATAAAGGATCACGCAAAGCTTCTTTGATATTTCTTGGTTCAGATATGCTGTCTTTAACAGTAAGCAAGGCATATCTGGGGTTTGGTTTCACAATACCTGACTTTGCTCTTGTTGTCATGGTATGTGTAGGTGCCTGGACATCTTGATTTATCTCTGGATGATGATCCGAAGCAGAACTTGTTGCAGCAGAGGAATTATCTGAAGGTAGAGGAGAATTGATGTTTGGGTCAGGGTGGGGTGGGAAAGGTGAGGGTGGGTCAGGGTGGGGTGGGGAAGTTGGGTTTGGGACAGGGTTGGTATTAATAATGCGACTAGGTAGCAACTCTTCTTCAACAGTCTCAGGAGAAGTACTTCTCGTATCTGCATCTTGCTGCACATTTGCAACACGCCAAGCTTTCAACAATGGTGAATCAGTGTTTTGGTGAAAGTGACTATAAACATTTGCAAAGGGAAAAGTAGTTTCATCAAACAAAACATGTCTGCTGATGAAGACCTTCCCTGTTGGAGGATAGAGACAACGATATCCTTTGTACTTCTCATTATATCCAAGGAAGACACACACCAAAGACTTCGGATCAAGCTTGTGCTTCATGTAAGGCCGAAGATAGGGAAAACACTTGCATCCAAACACTCTCAGTGCTGTGTAGACAGGAGGTTTACCATTGATGGCTTCAAACGGACTCTTGTGATCTTCAAGAACAGAGGAAGGTAGCAGATTCCCTTGAAAAGCAGATGTGAAGAATGCTTCAACCCACAGCTGCAGTGGAACCTTGCTATTGTACAGCATTGTCAAACCAAGCTCAGTGATGTGCCTGTGTTTACGCTCTGCTATACCATTTTGTTCCGGGGTGTGGGGACAGGAAATCAGCTGCTTGATACCACACTTAGCCAGATGATCAACGAACATCTTGTTAGTAAATTCAGTGCCTCCATCACACTGAAACTGTGAAATCTTTTGTTGATATTGGTTCTCCACTAAGCTTTGAAACCGTTGAAACACAGAGTAGAAATCTGACTTGAGCTTTAAGGGATAAAACCATGTAAATCTTGTATTATTGTCGACAAAGATTACATAGTACTTAAACCCTTGAGAAGACACTACAGGACTAGGACCCCATAAGTCACAATGAATTCGCTCTAGAGGCCTAGAAGACACGGTTTCAGAAGCTAAAAATGGAAGTTTACAACTCTTCCCTACTTGGCAAGCATCACAGATAGACTTGGAGCTTCCCTTATTCATTATTATCACCTTACTACTTGAGAGATGTTGAAGGATATCCTTGTGAGGATGGCCTAATCGTTGATGCCACACCTCATCACATGTTGCTTGTTGCCGGTTAGAGTAAAAAGCTTTGAATCTTGCATCCTTCAACATATAAAGATCCTTATGCCTTCTGCCTTGTGTTATCACTGCCTTTGTTACCTTGTCCTTAACAAACACGTTATGAGAATCAAATGTAAACTCACAAGGATAGTCTGATGTCAACTTTGATACAGATAACAGGTTCTTGGTGATTTCAGGACAAACTAAAACATCATCAAGAGGAAGTAAGGTACCTTGAGCAGTGTGAAGAGCAATAGATCCAACATGTGTGATAGGAAGATAATCACCATTACCTACTATCACTTGGTCATTTCCAACATACGGCTCAGAAGACTGGAGTTGAGAATGGTTGTTGGTGATGTGAGCAGAAGCAGCAGAGTCTGGGTACCATTCTTGTCCGTTGAGCTGTTGTTGATCAGACACTTTCATTGTGGTGAGAGCATTATGAACGTTGTCTGTTGCTTGATAATCCTGGTCAAACCGGTTATAGCATTTAGCAGCAGAGTGTCCATACCTCCCACAGATCTGACAAGTGGGTCTTGTGTTGTTGTTAGACCCTGATGTACCACCAAACTGTTGCTGAAAACCTCTGCCCCTTGTTGAGTACGTTCCTCTTCCTCTGTATCCTCCTCTGTTGCCACGGCCACGAGAAGAATACCCACGTCCAGCATGAAAGGCAAGATGAGGATTTGCTTCAGAGGATTTGTTGTACACCTGGAGCTTATCATCGAAAGTAATGAGCTTGAACATGGCATCTTCAAAGCTCATCTGAGGAATAGTATCCATAGAGTGTTCGATGACAGTACAAATCGACTCATACTCTTTTCCCAAACCACTTAAAGCACCATAAATCATTTCGTTTTCAGTGATGGGACAGCCTATGGAGTCTAACTGATCACAGACAGCCTTGACATCACTCAAATAAGCAGACATTGTCTTTTGTTGTTTAGACATACCCTGGAGTTTTCGTTGGAGATCAAGTTTTCTTGTGGCAGAGACACGATTATACTTCTGACCAAGGGATGTCCAGACTTCTTGAGCAGAATGAAGACCATAAACAGAACGAAGAGCTTCTTCAGTGAGAGATCCAAACAACCAAGCCATCACCAACTGATCTCGTCTCATCCATTTGACAAACTCTGGGTTAGCAGCTTCAACCACTTGATCACCTTCTCTTGTTGTGACGGTTGGAGCAGGACGAGGAGTAGATCCGTTGATGTAGCCAAGAAGAGACTGACTCGAAAGAAAAGACTCAAACTGGAGTTTCCACAACAGATAGTTTGTGGAGGAGAGCTTAAGTGTCACACACTGTGTAATGCTTAATGACGGAGCGGAAATAGCGTCGGTGTTTTCCTCCATGGCTCTGATACCATGAGAATCACACTGAGCTAGAAGATGACAAAAGGTTTTCTTTTATTAACTTTGACAACTTGAAGAACAATTACAGAGCTCTCTCTCCTTTTATACAACACTCACACAATAACCAAAACCCTAGTATCCTCTCACGTCAGCCAATCATTGCGCAGCTCTCTAAGCATCCAAATCTATTGTGGATCCCAATACCATGAGCT